AGCAATTAATTTTTTTTCTAGGGTTTTTCGGTTTTATGAATCAAAATAAGCTAAACGAGTATGAATAAAAAATGAAAGAGTACAAGGAACCTTTGGCTCTGATACCAAAATGATATAAGACTTGGGTGAGACTTATAAGATTGCGGAATCAATGGCTTGGTGGGATCAACACGCTGGCTTTGTCGCTCTCTCGTGTGGATCAGTGGATGGAGATGGTAAGACAAGGCTTGTTCTCACAAGACTTGAATCGAGATGGGATCTGTCAAGCTGGCTTTAACGCTCTCTTTTGAGGGATCGGTTAAGGGTTTTGAAGTGGATCGAAGGCACCACAGAGACAATGAAGGGATCTCTGATACTGCGGCTCAACTCTTGGTGAATCACACACACAAGATCAAGCAAGAGAGTTCTTAGACACAGGCTAAGAAACACGGCGTTATTTTATTGATATCGGGAAAAATGTTGAAGTACAAGAGCTGCGTGTGGGACTTTATAAACAGTCCGTCAGCTTTGAACCTTCTAGGGTTCGACTCAAAGAAATAAAAACGACACTAAGGACTCAAAACAACAGGACTTGTAAAAGGAAAGAAAGCAAAATGGCAAAGCGTCTCATTTGGATACAAAAAATGGAAAGTTCACTTCAAAAAAAAAGGAAAAGAAACTAAACGTGTGCAACCTCTTCTGGACTTGTTCTGTGCACCTCTGATGATCTCTAGTGTGCTAGACACCACTAGGATACTCCCATGTTACCTGCACAAATCATATAAATGGAAAATACCTGGTTACGGCCGGTTGTGGGCTTGCTTGTTACGTCGTTGAGTAGCTCGTTAGTCTTGAGGTTTTCTTTGTTAGTCTTGATGTTTTCTTTGTCTAGAGTCCTGCTAACGTTATGTCCTGCGAGTTCTTCAAGTATCTTCACGCGTCCTACTTCGTGTTCCTCTTCTTGTCTCATTTGCTCGCTATCGGCTCCGAGTCTTGAAACGGTCGTATCTTGAGGGTCCAATGCGGTCTCTTCGAGATTCTTGGTGTTCCGTGCTCCATTTCATGTCAAATAAACATGTATACCTGGTTCTAGTTGAGGCTGGTTCTCTTTGAGGCTCAAACGCGCGAAACCCTCCATTATGTCTATATCGGGTCCTTTGGGGCTGTCTTGCGAGTGTTGCTCTTGAGTCACGGTTTTGAAAGCATCTCCAAGTTCCATGGTACTTAGTAAGGTTTCCACGGCCAAGTTGAAGCCTTCTCTAAGCCTCCTTGCTTTGGAACGGGTCATTGGTGCTTCTTTGAGCTCGGGAACGATCTTTGGGTCAGATGATGGTTCGATGGCCTCATCAGGATTAAGCTCCGGATCGCTGCTTTCGTCGCTTCGTACTGTTCGTCCAGATTTTTCATCTCTTCCTCGTTTATGACAAAGTCTGACGACCGATGTAAGGCGTCTTGAATCGTTTGTGGCGTGTTGAGGGCCATTTCCCGCCGGAATTCAGATTTGTACCACAAGGACCGTTTCAGAGCCTCGAGTGCAGCCTTGTCACTTATTCCTTCTACTTTGGACACGACCGCCTTTAACCTTGCCATGTAGTCCCGAAGCGGTTCGTTCGGTCCTTGGGATAGTGTCCATAGGTCGGCATTAGAGGTTCCTCGATCCATGAACATCGAATACTGCTTGAGGAACAAAGCGGAGAACTGTTGGAAACTGCCGATTGAATTGCGCTCCTGTCTTGAAAACCATTCCAGCGCGACTCCCTTGAGATGCTCTACAAGAGCAGGCAATATCCGGCATCTACCTCCCGCTCGGTCAGATTAGCAGCGTTCCTTGTGAAAGCTCGTCCCATTGCTATCCAAAAGGCCATGATGTGAGCCTTCGGATCAGTTGTGCCTTCGTAGAATAGGATTCTCACTTTCCCGGGCTCGGGAATCCTCGCCTCCGTGATTCTTGCTGTGAACGGTGTTCTCTAGGTTTCTTCGAGCATTCGATCGATCTCTGGCGCGGAACTTGTCGCGTTATGCACTTGAGATTTCATGGCGCGTATCTCGGACACTGTTCGAGCCATTGAGGCTCGCAGCTCTTCGATTTCGATGGTTTGTGCGCGAGTCATTCTCTTAGATTGGCGAAGTCGCTCCTGATCTTTTCTCCTCGGCTCATCTTCGCGCTCTGCCTGCTCAACCCATTGGAGATTTTCCTCTTCTTCATTTGGGTTGTCTTCGCGAGCCGGGTCGGTGACTTCGTCAGTCCGAATGCCATTTAGTGCCGAGGCAAGCTCTTCTTGGCTTATTTGCCGAGCCGAGCCGTTTTGTTGCGAATTCGTGGTTCCGTCGTTTTGTTGGGCGTCCACGTCAATCACGTCGTTCTCCTCTTCGTCGGCTCGTCGCCTTGAATTCCGACGGAGTGGAGGCGGCTCGGTCATGTTGATTCGGGTTACTGCGGGAGTCTGTTCGCTGAGGGGACGAAACATTGGTGGAGCCATGGGGTTTCTTATGCCGCTACCCGAGGCTCCTGCAGGTGTCGAGAAATCGAAACGTCTCCGGACTCCAACCGTCAGATCGGAGATTCCAGCTATCCAAGTCGGGTGTCGTCTCTCAGCCGTCATCGCGTCGAGCCTTTCCGTAATCGCCTCGTTCTTTTTGTCCTGCTCGTCGATTTTCTTCATCAACGTAGCCATCATGTTTCGCATCTCCTCTTGGGTTTCAGTTGTTGCCGTTGTTGTGCCCAATGGTGGAGCGTCCTTCTCCGCGCCGTTGTCATTGTTGTTGTTATTGTTGTTATCGTCGGGGGTGTTGTTCGCCATGTTCTTCGGATCTTAAAGTCCTGTCGATTTAGAGTAAGAAAATTTTGAGTCCCCACAGACGGCACCAAATTGTGTGAGCCAAAACTCGCACAACCAAAAATTTGTTAAGGAAAACTTAAGGGATCCAAAATTTCTAGGGTTTATCGCGAGAACAGTAAGATCGAAGGAAGGTTTTTATTGCTGTGAAAGTGTTTATTCTTTATTGCTTAGGGTTGAAAAAGTTATATAATGAATTGTGTAAATAGCCTATTTATACTAACTCCCTAAACTGCCTAGCCGAGAATCTCGGGAGAGATTTTCGGAATATTTCCTTATCATGTTGTGCGGCCACCGTCATAATGTTTTTGCCTAGGGTTTCAGTGGGCTCTCGTCCTTAACAACTTCGGCTAGGCCCATCTTCACTCGTGCACTGCTCGGCCCATCTTCACTTGTGTACGGCTCGGCCCATTTTTTCTTGTGCGCGGCTCGGCCCATCTGAGTGTCCTTCACATGGCCCGGTTTGCTTATCGCCTCCTCACGGCTCGGCCCATTTACCACGTTGGGTACAGCTCGGCCCACTCCTCTTATGTGGGGGTTCGGCCCATACCTGATGAATCACTGATTCCCCTTGCCAAATCGGCTCTCTCCGATGGTTAATTATTCTTGAGATGGTTTAAGCTGGTTGGGGTGAAACCGACCCCAACAGAAGACATGTTTTTTCTTTTCCACAACCTTCTTGAGGTTATCTTCTTTCACCTTTCTTATATCTGGTGGCACAACTATCTTGATCTTTGCAAATTGCTTAGATACAAGTGATTTCAGTTATTCGCCTTGTTGCCTTAAGCTTTCTTATTTCCCAAAGCTTTCTCCTTGGGTTTATCCCTTCAAGTTGGAGCTTCATCTTGAACAGTTCTATAGAACTTTTCCCTGTCCAAACGGTCGACCAAACATCAATGGCCTGTCCTTGTCTTGGTCCATCTCCAATAATTAGAAATCTATTAAAATTATCTTATTTGAAATGACCATTTGAAGGTTTTAATCATTCCTTATGTTCTCTTCTGAAATAAATCACCAAAGACTATTCTTACTGGAGATGGGATAAGCGTCCCTATACCAAGTCTCTCAGTGACTGATTTTGACATGATTTTCACATTAGCACCAGAATCGCATAAACAATCTGAAAATTCAATTCCACTAATAGAACAAGTGAAAGAAAAATGCCCTGGATCCTTAGACTTTTTCAGCCTTTGGACAGAAAAACGTTTTGGTACCTCGATAGGTGTGCTTATATCTCCTTCACACTTGGTTTTTGTGTCCTCTTTGAGTGGCACAGAGTTTGATTTCTCCGCAGGTTCTGCATTGATCTCCTATTCAGGTATTGTTGCCATAGCATTGCAGAACTTTTTTGGATGTCTCTACTCTTCCTGGCAAAGCTCCTGGCTGTCTCTTCATTGAGTCTGCAGTTTGGCCTTGTAGTTCCAACTTGTTGACATGGATTGAAAGAGATTCAAACTTCTCATTCAAGTCATTGTACATACAATCAACCTTTATGTTCATCTCTCTCTTGTTAATTTGTTGATGCCATGTGGTAGCTGCTGGATATTTTGTTCAAATTTCATTATCTGATTGGTTAGTTGAGAGATTGTTGCTTCTAGTGAGCTGGTCTGCACATGTTGAGGGTTGAAGGGTGGCCTTTGTTGAAAATTTTCTCTTTTATAGTTCCCATTTTGGATCTTGTTTGGAAAATTTCTCTACTGCTGCGGATAAGGTTGGTGCTGGGGGTTCTCTGCTCCTTGATTTTGGTATGAGAGATTGTTAAAGTTGGCATTCCTAAAGTTGTTGTTGAAGCCTGGGCCGAACCGACTTTGGTATGACCCTTGTGCTCCCACGAAGTTGATCTCCTCTTCTTGAGCATATGCACCATCATCCTCATAGCCTCCATCATCTTCATTACCTACAGCAGTTTCACAAGCATGTATATTCTTATATTGAGATTTAAGAAGTTGACTTACCATGCTTTTTACCTCAGCAATCTCCCTTGACTCATGACTAATGATAGTCTTCTTTGATCTGTCATACTCAGGGTTGTTGTTGCTAATGGTTACAGCGAGATTCTTGATAAGTTCTCTTCCTTGTGTTATAGTCTTTGAACCGAAATCTCCATTGCTTGCAGTGCCAAGAGATAGTTGATACTTCTTCTGAAGTCCTTTGTAGAAGGTGCTTAGCAGATTTTCTCCAGAGAAACTATGATGAGGTCAGTCTTTCTCATACTCCTTAAATTGCTCCCATGTCTCGAAGAAATACTCTACAAGGCCTTGTTGGAAACTTTGGATCTTGTTTCTCAACTGATTTGATCTCGCCTTGGTGTAGAAGCGGTTCAGAAAGCAGACTTCATTCTTCACATGAAGTAATAGAACCAGATGGCATAGATTTTAACAATCTAAAAGCTTTATCACTTAAAGAGAAAGGGAAAAGCTTACCCTTCACATAATTTGTAGAACCTGGATTGGTTCTCACCATGCTGCAGATTTCTTCAAAAAGATCTATATGATCCCTAGGATGCTCTGTAGAAACTCCATGGAGCTGATTTTGCTTCACCAAGGTGATAATCTGAGGTTTAATCTCGAAATTATCTCTTGCTGGTGGAGGAACTTGAATAGTATATATGTTTTGGGAGTGTTGGTGAGGTGCATCAAAGTCAGCAATAAGCCTATTATGGGCTTGTCTTCTCGCATGGTTGACAAGTTGTATAGATCGATTAGCATCTCTTCCATTAGAAGGAATAACATTCTCATCATTCCTTATCTCTTCATGATCGTCTTGATATTGTCTCGTTTGGTCAGCGGCGTTTTGAGCAGCACGTCTAGGGAGTTGATTTCCCTCTCCATCGAGCAGTGGCGGATCATCTGCTCTATGAGCAGCCTCTCGGTCATCTCCGTGAACAGAATGTCATCATCTCCATTGTGATCAACTTGATCACGTTTAAAATATCTTCTTGATGGGCGTTTGGATAGGCCATCTTGAGCGTTTTTGTTCTGAGTCTCTGGAGTTCTCTTTCGTGTTTGTCAATCTCGTCTAGGGGTGGTAAAATATTGGCAGGATTTCTCCTAGTGTTCATTGATTGAGATATGTGGGTACTTCCTAACAAGTTTAACCCTAAATAGATTAATGGGGCTGCAAGTGCACAACTGACTGGTTGAGTACTTAGGGATCAAATCCACAAGGATTTGTGTGCCTAGTGTTTTCCATGATTTCTAAGTTTATGTCTAGACTAAATCGGTTTTAAGAGTTTTGGGGTGTGTCACTATCTAAAACAAATAAAACTATCCTAGAAAACAAGCAAATATCGAATGAATGCAAATAAAAGTGAAGAATTTAAGAAAGCAAGTAAGTAATCGAAGTTGTAAACAATATTAAAAACACTAGGCTTTCGAAAACTCTCTAGAGGATCATAATCGGTTTCTGACAACTTAGGTTATATATTGGGTTTTTTCGGATGATATAATTATCTAGGGTTCTGGAACTAGAGTACGGCGGTATGACTATGTCACTCTCGTAATCATAACCAAATGTCACTAACGATCCTGACAAGTAGCTTTCGACTTTGGCCCCGACCAAAAGTGTATGCAATAGCTTGTACAAGACTCGTCAATACTCACGATTCACCCATAGGTTGATTTCCCCTCCTATGGCAGAATCACTCATTTCATTCTAGGTCGGACACTTAATGAAAACTTTCGCAATACTAACTATCTAGAACAAACGCGAAGTGATCAATCAAGCATACATGCATTAAGAATAAGAATAAACGAAGAACATAAATAAAATCCAAGATCAAAAAACCTAGATGTCTTAATCGATTATGAGAGCCCTTTTTGGGAATCCTATGCCCAACTCGGGATCTACTCAGACATAGCTGAGGTCGACATCATCATTGGTGTTAATTAAAGAATTAAAAACTATAAAGAAAAGAGATGAAGAAAAGCTTCTCTATGAATGAATCTAAGGTTGAGAAATCTTCTTTACAAATCGCTAAAAACGGATAAGAAAGTTGTCTCTGTAAAAGTATGAAAGAAATATCAAAATGACTTAATTGGCAAGTATTTATAGTCTTCAATACTCCAGGACGTCTAGAGCTTCAGAACTAAGGTCGGAAAATAACTTGGGCTTTAGAATTGGGCTTTTGATTCAGAGATGGCTTGTCGCGGTCGAATAGGGCGTGACCGTGGGAAAAGAAAGCTTGGCAGCGGCCGCATGGTCATGGCTACTGTGAATGGTTGGCTAGCCGCGGTCGCATGGCTTCGAGGCAGTCTTCAATTGTATCCAGGGCAAATGAAATATCTTGAGATCCAACCGCTGGAAAGTCTCCAAACCAATTGCATTTGAAAGCTGGTTGAGATTATGTTAAGTTTTCAATTTTGGGGATGATCAGATGGTGAGAAGGTCTTTGTCTCTCCTTGAGATTTCTGACAGTTTAAATTTATCCAAAAGTGCTCTTTTGTTCCAATTTGCACATATTTCTCCCAAGTTACCTGAAAAAGTCTTTTAAAATGCAAAAATATATCTAAGTAATCCATAAAAATGGTCAAAAACCGGTGTTATAAACTTCTTAGGTATTGGACTTTTGTTTGTCCTCAAACAAAACAGAAAATCAAATCTTGGAGAGAGGTTTGAAAACGCAGGAACTAACAAAACCTCAGAGACCATACTTCTAGACTAAAATCAATCATTATGCATCAATCAGGTATAGCCTAGAAAATTCTCACTAAAATGTAAACATAACTAGTCCGTTGATCTGTCATGCAAAAATCTACACACTTAGACCAAACTTTCAGTCAACTAGATCTTAACATTAATTAAGAATTCCAGTGATTCTCATCAAAAGAAAAATAAACAAGACAATCAATGCTAGGTATTCAAAGGGTTTTTAGGGATGAGGTTTGAAGTGTTTCGGGTTACCTTTATTTCTGGAGAAATTGAATATTATGTATAACAGCAAGAGGGGGTGGAGCTATTGATATCCACAGTTTTCAGTAACATTATTCTTGTCAATAAATCTCTGATCTTCTTCCTCAGGTACCCATCTTAGTTCCCCCAGACTTAGATCTTTGTCTAGGTTATAAAATCATAACTCCATAGATGAATACAAGTTACCTTGCTGAAATAAATTTTTGACCATCTAAGACTCTTTAGGCTTTTGTTTTCTTTCATTTCTTTCAGTTTTTTGTTTTGAAAAGGGAAAACGTCTTTAGATATAGAGACTTAGAGAGCACAAAAATTACCATGAAGAATGAGCTTTCAAGGTAGCTTAAGATTGCTGATACTCTTCCTTTCCAATTCCATTTAGTCTTTTTCTTGTGTGACTGAAAACTGTGTTGTTCATCTCTCTCCGGCATTTTTGCACATATCTGCTGGTATAAACTAAAGAGAGAATGCATGAGATTTGAAAATAAAGGATTAGATAAGGGTATGGTACCAGCTAATGATGAACTGGCCATCTAGGACAACAGAGAGTGGTAAAAATGAGGAAAGATGTCCTAGATGTATATCTTGATGTCTGATGTGAGTGCAGTGGGCAACACAAGTTTTACCCTAGACAAGCTGCAAGTGCACAGCAAACGCAGTAGTACTTAGAGATCAAATCCAAAGAGATCTGTGTGTTGAGGACTTCTAACTGATGCTAAAAACAATTGTAAACCTAATCTAATAAAAAGGGGTTTTGGTTTGTCACTAAATCTAATTATCCAGAGAATTAAAAAAGCTGGAAATAAAAATCGGTTGAAAACTATATGAAAAACGGTGCTGGGTTCAAGATTCATCTTTAGGGTTCATGTTCTAAAACACAAGGAATTTAGGCAATGATTTTCTATGACTCTGAAATTAGGATAGACACATGTAAGATTAGCCAACTCTCGTCACCCTAATCATCTAATCACTTGTTCATGGCAATTAACTCTCGCTTTCATGCTAGAACAAGATCATGCTTTGAAGATCAGAATCTATCTCTGCTTACGTATCCTCCGTAGGTAGCTTTCGTCTCCTACGACGGTGATGTCCATAAGATCCAGTTCAGGCAACCCAGATACAACACTCTCGTGGCTCGGATTAAACCTAGGATCGGATTCTGGGTGATCAATCCAGAATTACCGCTTTGAGATTTGGATGAATGGGAGAATCATGTTAAAAATCGAAATCCTTTTCCTAAAAACCTAGATGTCATTCGAACATGGGGTCCTTTTGGATTACCCTTTCACCCAACTAGGTGACTACTCAGACATGGCTGAGGTAGACATCATCATCGGTTTAGAACTAAGAAAAAGAAAAGTAAAAGAAACAAAGTTGCAGAAAAACTTCTCTTATTGAAGACAGAGTGGCGATGGAGAGCTTCTACAAATGCATAAAAATAAAACCTAAAACTACAAATGAGTCCTCTCTCAAAGAGAAGAAAGAGGCTCTCTTACAAAAGACCTAAAAATGATTATTTATAGTGTTTCTCGAAGTCTTGGGCGTCTAGGGCTTGTAAATTGGGTGCAGGAAGTGTCTTGGCCCTTAGTTGGGCTCCTTAAGTTCGGAAATACGTCCACCGGGGCTGAAACCTCTTGAGCCGCGGTGGGGAGAAGGCTGGCCGCGGGTGAAAGCACTTGTGCTTAACAGGGCTTGTGTTGATTGGCCTTCAGTGCATTGATAATATCTGGAGATCTAACCGTTGGATGGCTTTGATTCCAAGTGTGTTGAAAAGCTGGTTGTCTCTTCTATAATTTTTCCAAATTTAGGGATGATCGGACGGTGAGAAGGTCTTCTTAAGTTGCCAAACTTCTGACAGCCTGAATTTATCCAAAAACGTGCTTTTGCTCCAAAATGCACTCCAAAGTCCCAAGTTTCCTGAAAAGTCTTTTAAAACTCCAAAACATGGAAAAAACTTATAAAACCTTTAAAACTGAGTGAAAACACCTGCATAAGATACTAAAAGTGATCCATAAAAGTGGTCAAAATCAGGTGTTATCAATGTCTGCCTAAATTCAATTTGAGAAAATTAAATATCAATATTAATTCCAAATAAAATGAGCTAGTATATCCTCTGGTGAGAGTTCGTAGGCAAATACTCTAGCTACTGCCTAGTCTAGTAATAACCACAAATGAGCTATCATGCATAGTGTAGAAGCATACAGGTCGAAATCATCATAGTTTTGTTTAAAAATTCATGAAAAATACTAAAATATAGATTACATCAAAGATTTTAAAAAGTACTTGAAAATAAAGAGCAAAGAAAATAAAAGATCAGTATGGGATGACATCCTCCCGTAGACTTAAATCACACCATCCTCGGTGTGAAAAAGTGATGAAAGG